CGAGCTGTTCCAATTTGTGAGTAAGCGCAGTAGCATTTGAAAAAACTATATAGTTACCGAATTGTCGGTTAATACCACAGGAGATGAAGCAGTGCACTCCTGTGCTATTGTCCATCGAGCAATATAGCATCAACCGAAATAATGAAATGAGCCATGTTTTGCAATCCGACTGAGAACAATGTTAGACAGAGCAACCTTTATTGGAGCAATAACAGCTACAAAATCAACATTGGTTTCAGCCAGTTTCAGATTTCAGATAATCAATGTTTTTCGTGCTTAGTGTACAAGCAAGTTGATAAACACAAAAAGTTGTCTACTCATTGCACTTCTTTAGCAAAGTTTTCAAGCATCAAAATCGATTATATTTTGTGTTCATTGAATTCTTTCATGTTCATTTTCAATTTGAAAAGCACCTCAATGTTGAAAAAACAACAAATAAAGTAAAAACAATTCACCAGGGAAACTGTTNTATCAAAATCGATTACATTTTGTGTTCATTGAATTTTTTCAAGTTCATTTTCAATTTGAAAAGCACCTCAATGTTAAAAAAACAACAAATAAAGTAAAAACAATTCACCAGGGAAACTGTTCATTACGAGTTAACATCAGTATTATTGTTTACAACCAGATTCTGCTCTACTGTTTTGTTCTATCGTCCACGCAACCGAGCTCGCAAATGTACGGGCGAAGCCATCGCAGTGCTACTAATTCCTCTCACCCACCTGTGATCCTTCAAACTTACCTGTACATTAGAATGTACTACAATAAAATACGGAAAACAGTTTGCCACTGGTGGGACGCCTATCTTCTCTTCAAATGTTCCATCACCGTGCTACCCATATATTTAGTTCTAGTCATCGCCGGAGTCTACTGCATCGTCTACAACATCGATGTTAACGCTTCGCTCAAAACAGTCTACCAAGTCATCTTTCTGCCTTTATCGGCTGCAGTTATTTTTATTTTCGTTCTCCTATTAGCCACATTCAATGGCGACAGCCGATCACCAGATGAAATCGGTTCAAATGCAGACCAATACGAAGTTGACCTTGACTCGATATCTCTTCCTTCGAGGCACAACAATAACTCTAGATCAGATGGTCGACGGGGCAATCGGTGCTCTATTTCATCAAGCATTTGGTCTGCTATTTTCGGTAACTACAATGATGAAGAAGAGGAAGAGTTTGACGAAGATGTGGATCCAAGCGTAATTTTAACAATGACCGCAGAAGAAGCACAACAACACGGCTTGATTCCCCCTTTTGGGCACTTGCCGCCGTCACTATTGAATGAAGCACAAAGTCAATTGGTGAACAGTTTAGAGCAAACAACTGCTGGCATTGAGTTCTTCTTGGATCAGTGCAATTCATTTGAGCAGTTTATCAACCCAACTGATGGGATGTTGCCCAACTCAACTCATTGCTCAGAACAAAACTTTTTGCCTCCGCCGGGTTATTACGATAGCTCAAGTTCAACTGTGCCAACTAATTTTCAGATTGAAAGAACCAATAGTGAATCAACTGATTATCAAAGGACTTCAATTTTACCGCCACCTGATTTGACAACGCCCTTTGATTGTCATCTAGCGCCTGCAATTCCACCCACATATTCTAGCAGTGTTTTGGACACCATTTCGGAAAACAACTCGTCAACTTTTTTGGCCAAAGATTTTCCACCAACTTACGAAGAAGCCATTAGAAAGTAGAGCTATCTGAAACTCTGAAAAACACTACAACTATCAGTATTTTTAGATTTTTACAAACCATTTAGTTGTATCAATGAAAAGTAATGAAATTCATCTACGCATAATGTGTTTATTATAACTTTTTATAGTTTGTTGCCACAAAAAAATTACTAAAAGAAATATATATTCGATGTTTCACAATAACCAAAGTTATTAGAAAAAAAGAATGTAAATATTGGGCATTACTGTTGATTTAGTCAATCGTACACTCCACGATGTAACAGGAGCTCGGTTCAGTAACTTCCGATGACGTGCAGTGAAATGGCATGCACTCTATTGCGGGATACTCACTTCCTGAGAACAGTGCTCGCAAAAACGTCACACAACCGTAGTGCCAATGCATCCGCTAAGTGCTCGTCTTTAACCGCTTTGACTTTCTTTCTCCGGTCTGTTAACGACAAGTAGTCATTTTATTTCATGTTTATAATACTATTCACAAACTGTAGTTTACAATCGTTGAAAATATTTCTAGACAATGAGTAAGTAGAGAAAAGGATTTGGCGACAAGAATGAAAATTATGACAAAGAAAAGTAAACAATAAATAAAGTATCAATAAATAATATCAAGAAATGCAATATGAAAAACTTTTACAATGATACATTCAATGGCAACATTTTATAAAGCAAAAAGCCAAGCTCCCTAGAGTGAGTACATTGAGGTCATTGAGTCTTCTTGAAAAGTTCCTCCAGCAGATCGATTGCTCCCACTGAAGAAGAAGTCGTATCACTGGGCTCAAGTGGCACCTGTGCCTTTAGCACTTTCTCAATTAGCTGCATCGTTCTCTTTGGAAGATTGCCCGTTTTCCGGTGGTATGCCACCTCTTCTGCTGACAGTCTGTCAATGTACACTTTGGTGTTTCCATCATTCTCTATTTGAGAGCGAAAGTTGGGCACTATGGACTGGTCTGGCACAGGAGAAGGAGATTGAGTTGAGCCCTCTGGCTGCACTTCGGTAAATATTGGAGCAGCTGCTGTCAGTTGAAACACAACCAAAGAGCAAATAATGATGGCATAGAATGTAAAGAACCAAACAGACTGGCAAGATTTAAATGTGGATATGCTCTTTTGACAATAAGGCATTTTTAAAACCGTTGGTGAGGTAACCGATTCTGTCGATAACCTAGTGAGCATCGCAGTACTGATCTGAATGAATGCAAAACAAATGGTAACTGGGTGACGGGCTGCACCTGATCTAAAGCACAATAGTCGCTGTTGATGTTGCGACGGCGATGAAGATGACAAACAATGTCAAGAAAGATGAATTAAGGCAGTGGGTGCGAAGAGATGACTGATAGCAAGACTTATGCTTTCCGGTGTGTTTCACAGAGGTACAATATGCTGCGGTTGATGCTGTCGCTGTCGGCGCTGGTGCCACCTCACCGTGAAGATATGGTCAGGTTCACTTGAGCGCCTTGCTAAAGGGCAACACTTGTTGACAGTCGGTTCGATCGATATAATGCAGAGAAAGGCAATCGATGGCAATGCTGGGCCCACTAAAGAAGGTGCCGGCGCCTTTTCAAACACTGGCCAAAATGAAACAAAGAAGCGAAACAATTTTAAAGTGGTTCACCAATTGGGCAGTTGGCAATCGAAAAGAAGTGAACAGATGTTAGCGTTGAGTGCACTGCCGGTGTCAAAGATGCCAGCGGACAGTACTCCTTTTTATACACCGCCGACCAGTCACTCTCGGTGTTAGAGTTTGCCGCCGCATCAGTAGCCTCATGTCAGCGGCACTGGCTGTCGCACCGACAACCACTTGTTGCAATGTAGTCTGCACGCACACACGCACAATTAGTGACAAATGTTGCAGCAACGGCGGCAGTTGCACTTTCCGAAGCCTTTTCTAGGATGCTGCACTACACGTACAGGACTGCTGGTGATGGTGGTGGACAGAGCAACACCGACGTGATGGCACCAGATGGCTAGTGTCAGTGTGCTCACAAAGTGGAGCAATTCAGTGAAAAAGTGACCATTTCGTTTAACCATCCACTGGACTGCCCGTCAGGCAAACCCAAAAAAATAGAGGTAGCCTATCATTTAGCTGGGTTTCCTTCACCACCAGTTATCCAGAAACTAATCTGTTCCGGTTTTGTTGCTTGCTTAATCCCAATTTAAGTATGGCAAGCATTCGTACGATGTTCTTAAGAAACTAAAATGCTTAAGAGAATCGTAATCTGTAAGCTCAAAAGTGTGATAAGAAAAAGTGNATAGAGGTAGCCTATCATTTAGCTGGGTTTCCATCACCACCAGTTATCCAGAAACTAATCTGTTCCGGTTTTGTTGCTTGCTGAATCCCAATTTAAGTATGGCAAGCATTCGTGCGATGTTCTTAAGAAACTAAAATTATGCTTAAGAGAATCGTAATCTGTAAGCTCAAAAGTGTGATAAGAAAAAGTGAAACTTTTCAGCAAAAAACTTAATTCTTTAATCACTTTCAAAAGTAATTAAAGTTTGGAGAACTCGAAAGTTATATTAACCTCAAAAGGGATCGAATTCTTTCAAAACACCACAACAAAGACAGTCTAGCCTGGCTACATGTAATAGACTTTGACAGCAGCCCATTTTGAAGAATGGGCAGATAGCAGAATATGGTCAGTGGCAGAGAAAGCAGCACTTGATCTGGGAAAGAGAGAGAATCAGTAGAAAGACTAATGATATGACGGGAATAGACTAGCCTACATCTGGTTACATCTTGATAAATGCAAATGTCTGTGGCACACATCGAGTGCAGCCATTCAGCCGTCTCGTCTACCATCGCATGTCTGCGAGTGTCTGCGTGTGCACCCTTTCTCAATCGACCAGTGTTTGACTGCCATCAAGGGCAGACGGTGCCAAGTTGGAAGGGCAGACGCAGCCTAAACACAGCATATGACTAAATATGGATAAATTAAATTCTGAAACCACACTTGAAAAGTCGACCAGAAAGGCTGCCCATTGACCAGAGTGGAAACAGATCGACGTCATTGAGCAGTGTTTAGAGTTATCGGCGAGTGTTTTCCCAACCTCTAACACAAAGCTCTATCGGAAATGATGACGCCACTATTCAACTTGCTGGTGCTGTAATGAGTCCAACTGGTATTTACTGGTATTTATTTACCAGTTGAACTATTGCTCTCTTGCAGGTCGAACGACGAAAAGAAAACATGACCTGTTTCATACGAACACAGCTTAATGTAGAAGCAACTTGAATTGATTAAACGGACAAATCTAAACACAACGGAAAACTAGTTAGCACATTTTTATTACTTTAGACAAGCTTTCAATACATCGTTGAAGTGTTAGAGGTTCGAGGCAGCTTAATCTTCTCTAGATTTTTTGTTACAATATCATGTAGAGAAGCGTAGTGGTTGCGAAGTTCAGCGACAATTAATCGAAGGCTGAGGAACTCTTTCTCGTCAATCTCCTCTACGTTGCGACGAAAATCTTCTACATGAGGGTACTTGGCAATTTTGGTCACAATCTTAGCTCTGCCGAGAAAGTATCGAGACATTTGATCAAAGTATGCAGAAGCTTCCGCTTCGACAGTACGAATCTCTCCGAGAGTGTCCTCCTGGATGCTCACACCAAAATTATTGCCGTCTTCAATCCGAGGAATGAGGAAAAGAATCCACATTTTAAGCTAAACAAAGTAAAATTAATTTTTAACAAAACTTAAGTCGCTACGATTGCAACTTACCAGGTTGCTGTCTTCCACTAGTTGGCGAATAAGCGGCTTGACAATGTCTATGAGCGCCTGAATGAGGGGAAAAAAAGTTAACTTTGAATCAACTTTGCTCGTTATAAACGTACCACAATGTTTTTATTGCAGGGCACAGAGCCGTATGGTAAGACGAGAACACGAGAGCCGGCATCATTTTTCAAATCATCATCTTTTGAAATTGCGAGATATTTGCGTTTTTTAGACTGTAGTTTTTAAAGAAGATGGATTATAAATTCAAGTATTAGCTATAAACCAATGTGTAAAATCATTTTGTTTACCTGACTCTTGGAAGGTGACTCGCCGTCGTGGTTGTTGCTGATGCTGCTAACATCTTTCACATAAGGATAATCTGGAACCGGGATGTTTATGTCGGTTTTGATCGCACTCAAGTGCTTAATGTTGAATTTCGGGCTCTACAAATTGAAAGACGAATAATTATTATGCCTATTTAACGACAATTAGGAATGAATTTCAGTAACAACTTGCAGTAAAAAGTTGGTGTAGTTCCAGTGTTTTTCGGGGAAAGGTTTTTAGAACCAACTCCTCTGCCTGCTTCTTGATGTCTTCCTTCCAGCTATTGATCTGTTGTACAAAAGTAGTTAGTTTTAAATACAAATTAAACACAAAATCATACCTCTTCAAGATAGTTGGCACCCTTTGAAGAAGATTGAGCCATCTCTTTCACAAGTGCCCGAATTTAAATCTAAATACAAAACGAATTATTACTAAAATTGCACTATAACTTTTCTTTATACTTACAAAATGTACTTAAAATTTATTAAAACACACTTTTACAAAATCAACTTAAAAAATATAAAAAATCTGAAATAAAAAAATGGATGTCAACGTGGAGTCGTTGAAAAGATTTGAAAGAGAGCACGCGGTAAAAGACAACACGAGGCTACCTTGTAACATCTTTTACTGATGGCTTCTATTTGGCGCAAAATTCAAAAATATTCTTTTTAAAACAAAAATTTTTAGGAATTCGGAATTCTGTATTGAAGTTTTAAAAAGTTAAATATTTATTTATTTAAAAAAATAAATTTTGTTATAATTTACGTTTTTTATGTAAAACAGCTATATTAAAGTTTATTTATTTTGTAGTGACTAAAAAGGCAATACTGAAATACTCCCCCATATTTTTTTACATGACCAGTTTTCTCAACATCAAAATAATATAAAAACTAAACGAAAATACTTCTGATCAAGTAGACTCGATTTGGTCTAATGTAAAAACGTCAAACAGTGCACACAAAAGCACATTAAAACCTGAAGAATACTATCGCATTCGAAAGTCGCCCAATCGTGGTCGATGTGTCATACTCAATTATGAAAACTTTTCTACAGGACATGAGACTCGTGAAGGAACTTTACTCGATGTTTTGGCATTACATGATGCTTTTGAAAAAATTGGATTTAAAGTAGTCATTCATAATGACCTCACCTTAAACCAGACTAAAGATGTGCTCAAATTCGGCAAGTTTTCTTATATAATTAGTTTGTCTGCTTATTTGTTTGCATTACAGAATCTTGTTACAATCATGATCGGTTTGATTGCTTTGCAATTTGCTTTTTATCACACGGCGACAATGGAAGTAAGTGATAAAAAAGGTGTTTGTAAAGATATTCTAATGAAAAAATACTATTTTGCAGTTTTATTCTGTAGTGACTCTTTTCTTTCTTCTGATGACATTTTTGCGCCTTTCACCGCTGACCAGTGCGCCAGTTTAGCGGGCAAACCCAAATTGTTTTTTCTGCAGTCGTGTCAAGGCAGTGAATGCGATGCCGGCACGCTGATCACCGATTCCATAGACTCCCCAAAGAGAGAAACGCAATACCGCATTCCAAACACAGCTGATTTCCTCATTTTCTACAGTGCATATCCAGGTTTTTGACATTTATTTGCACATTTATTTTAAATACTGACACATCACTTCAATTTTCTTAGGATTTAACTCTTGGCGAACGCCCTCAATAGGTTCTTGGTTTGTCTACAACCTGTGCAAAGTATTTAAAGAGGAAGCACTGCATCGAGATCTAATATCTCTGCTAGTGACAGTGTGTCGTCGAGTGGCCCTTGATCACCAGTCTAACGTGCCCGAGAATGAAGCGAGGGATAAGAAGAAGCAAATGCCTTGCATAGTTTCTACTCTGATTAAACTTGTTCAGTTTTAAAGTAAACAATTTAAAAATTAAATTATTATGGCAGTGATTTGTTTTTGATGAAAGCACAGCCAAAGTGCAATAAGGTGTCATTGAAGTACTGCAACCAAGGCAGCCTTATCGTCCAAACAAAACGATNCATTAAACTTGTTCAGTTTTAAAGTAAACAATTTAAAAATTAAATTATTATGGCAGTGGTTTGTTTTTGATGAAAGCACAGCCAAAGTGCAATAAGGTGTCATTGAAGTACTGCAACCAAGGCAGCCTTATCGTCCAAACAAAACGATGTATGCTGCTCAACTGTAAGCACACTAACGCTTCAGAAACGGAGAGGCAAAAGGTGTTTTTAATTGAGTGAAAAAAATAAAAAGACTAATTAAATTCAAATGGACAACATTTACTACCAAAATGGAATGTAAGTACTGCAGAAAAATGCCACTTTTGTAAAAATTATCATCATGGAGCTTTATCCCACTTAAGTGAATATAAAGATGGCAATGCTTCTACGTGGAAGGAAGCAAGGCTTTTCACCGATTCACATTTTTCATCTGCTAACTATTACACCATTGGCTCTCGAGCAGGCCCAAAACGAGGACGCTGTGTTATCTTGAACTACGAACAATTTCTAAATCCGGTCCAAAATAGAAAGGGCACCGAGTATGATGTGAGTGCACTGAGGAAAACTTTTGAGTCACTCAATTTTGATATCATCATTCACCATGACATGACGAAGCGAGGAACGGAGTTTATTCTTGACAATGGTATAAATTGCCTATTTCACACACCCTTTTATTCTTAAGCATTTTCCTTTAAATAGAATCACAGTTTGACCATACTCAATACCACTGTTTTGTAATGTGCGTTCTTTCTCATGGTGAAGCAGACAGTAAGTACAAGACAACTTCCATGATACGAGTGCAACAAGTGTGACTAACATTATATGCATTGACAACAGAGTTTTTGTGCATCGACAATGAAGGCATTAAATACGATCAAGTGTTTGCTAAATTCGACGGAGAGCACTGTCCTTCGCTGATTGGAAAACCCAAACTATTCTTCTTTCAAGCCTGTCAAGGTGATACGCACGACAGTGGAGTTCGTCTCCAAGTGGATTCGACGCATTCACATGGCTTTCAAGAACACGGCTCGCTTATTCCTAAGCCGGACAACCCTCAAAGCCAGCCAATCACTGCTGATCAATTTGCATTTTACTGCAGTTACCGAAGTAAGTGGCTGGGCCGATCTATAAACGGACACTAAAAAATACTTTTTTTCCGGCAGGTTTTTACTCTTATCGCGATCCAGAAAAAGGATCCTGGTTCATATCTGAACTTACAAGTACGTTTGATACGCATTCCCACCAGGAAGATCTAATCAGCATGACCACCATGGTGCAGAAAAAGGTGGCAGAGAAAGAAGCTGCAAGGGTAACGACAAGGGGGCAGACAGGGATCAAGCAAATGCCTTTATATTTCTCGACTCTCTTAAAGAAGCTCATGTTTTCATAGAGTTAAAGTAAGAAATATTTTTATTACACAAACACAAGATTTTTAAGTAATGAAAAATGTACAAATTCATTGTGAAACTTTTCAGAATAGGCTAAAAATGAAAGACTTGGACATCTTTCGATTGCTCACTAACAGCTGCTGACCGGTGACAAGACCAAGTTCGACCAGTGTCTTTGAGAGGTTCATTTGTACTTCCGGAAGAGAAGGCATGTACAGTGTTAGTTGGTTGTTTTCAGTAGTAGTAGTCAATGAAAGGGGTCCCTCCATGTCAAAGTGTTCTTGTATATGGTTCATTAGCTGCTGAAGTGTGAGTGACTTAGAAACCGGGAGAGTTTGTGGAAGATTGCTGCAAACCAAGCAATCGGGATTGCGCTCTCCGGCGTAGGTGTAGGTGTATATTCCGTCGACGTCATTAAAAACGAGGTAATTGTTGAGGATTGGCGCCGAAGCTGTGGCCAATTTGAAGACTTCCGTGACACAGATTGAAGCAATAACGGCGTTTGTTGATGCAACAGCGGGAATAATGTGCTTCACAACGCCCTGTGTCAGGCGATAAGTGACGCCTTCGATGCTAAACTCTTTGGCTCGGTCGAGGCTTCGCTCAAAGATCCACTGAATATGAGCTGGATCATCGCCATCGACGCCTACTTCGCCAAATGGCTTCTGATTAGTCCATTCTACCAGGCGAATGTACTCTATACAATGTTCAGGAAGGCGAGGTCGCTGAGCAAGAGTGCACATAGGAAAATTGACCCGTGGCGGAAATAGGTTGATGTTGCAGTCAATACAAGGAAAGTCCTGGCTGGGGATGATCACACGAGCGTTGCCCTTAAAGCCTTCTGTTCCACCGTCGACCATAGGAATAATATTGTCTAAGCCCCCGTCCATTGATGGTTCAAGTAAAAGGAATAATGATCGGTTCAACCATCGGCGAGGCTCAATTGCATCAAGACCAACAACAATGATGTTAAACTGACTGTAAAACAACTGGTCCTTGTCTTCAATTCGGCAATTGTGCGGAATCACTTTGCAGCCGGCAACGCGATTGTTGATGAATTCCGCTGCAACTTCTGCTTTGCTTCGACCAATATCTTTGGTGCGAAAGAGAAACTGTCGATTCAGGTTGGACAGATCGATGGTATCACAGTCAATGACGTGTATGTCGACAAAGCCCATCAAGGAGAGCCCTTTGAGGAGTTCACAGCCGAGACCACCCGCTCCGATGACCAGAATTTTCATGTCTTTCAGCGCCTGCATTCCGGTGGCAGGATCAAAGTCCTCCTGCACAAATGGGCCAACACGGGAGAGAACCTTGTTCAGGTGATTCCATCGTCGTGGTTTGGGTTGAGATTGAGACATTGTTGTTGGTGGGAGTATTTTCGCGACACCGGCAATTCTTCAGCTCTTTGCGTGACCACGAGTTTGCTTTCTCGGCGAAGAAGCAGAGCGAGAAGCAGCGTGAGAGGGTGAGCAATGTTGTTGTGGGACTGTGACTGTGCCATGCGCAGTACTGCCGTCAAAGGACAGTGCCCATCTGATGGATGATCCATCTCAGTTTGATAAGGTTGATGAGAGCCTGTATAATGGCCAACGGCCATTTCCATTAGATTTAATCTATCTACGCATTAACACCCCGGATAGAGCACTTCTTGACCAATGGCGCCGATGCGACCAATGCAACATCTGGAGCAGTTATTGAGCGTAGCTCACACATATATTCTCTCCCTCTTTTTCTCCCCAAATGAGTGTAAAAATGGGGACCCTGTTGTACACTGACTTGTCCAAATAACTTGACCATCAGTGGGTGAACATTAGTTGGAAGTAAAGTTACAACACAGCTTGAAATTAACCGGCATCTGATAAGGTCATCAGTTTATCAACTTTGAACTGTCGTAAGAGATGAGGGCGGAGCGTTCGAGTAGCAGCCAATCAAAGCGCTCGCTAACTTTTTAAATGCTCCTGCAAACTGACAACCTTCGGTGCCTGCTTCAACTGTCATCCATCAACACAACAGTCTCACAGCGACAAGTTCACACATTGACTTCGGGTTCCGTTACTTTGGCATCTTAACCCGAACTGCAAATTGTCATTTCCAAAAATGACAATGGTCGGCCCGCAAAGACATGCAATGGACCGTCCGAACATTGCCCTTGCCACCAGACTGTTTACTGAATCTACATTCAACTCGTCGCCCGCTCGTCAGCTTCCTATGAAAAATGAAGACAACTGCATTGAAATTGGCTACTATACGCACCAAAAGTCGCTGGGTGAGGGAGGCTTTGGCAAGGTGAAGCTGGCAACTCATCTAAAAACCAATCAAAAGGTGGCCATCAAGATGATGAACAAGGAGAAGCTTGGTGTATGTTATTATTTGCATTTTTATTCCACTCATTGACTCACATTGTTTATTTCGTTTTTAGAAAGATCTTCAGCGGGTACGCATTGAGATTGAGGCTCTCAAAGTACTTCAGCATGACAACATAGCCAAGCTGCTTCAAGTAATCGAGACCAAAACTGATATATACCTGATTCTAGAGGTAAAACCCTATTTGCCCCTCGTGATTGTTGTGTTTACGTCTGCCTAACAACTGGTCATTTTTGTTTTCTTTTATTACAGTATTGTAGCGGCGGAGAGCTGTTTGACTATTTGATCTCCAAGAAACGCCTCACGGAAAGTGAAGTTCGCGTCATAATGAGAGATTTGTTTGGCGTGCTGATGTTTATTCACGACAAAGGGTTCGCCCATCGTGATTTGAAGCCAGAGAATATTCTGTTTGATGGAAAGCACACTATTAAGCTAATTGACTTTGGTTTGGCTGCAAATTCTTCGGTAGTTTTACTTCTTGCACACTTCTTTATTTTAACTTCTTCTTTCTAATCTCCAGGAAAACAAGTCAGCCCTTGCTTTTCTCTCGACCTGTTGCGGCAGTCCTGCCTACGCAGCACCGGAGCTACTTCGAGGTAATACTTACTCAGGTCCTGCCGTAGATGTTTGGAGTGCTGGGGTGTTGCTCTACTCACTTCTGGTTGGGCAATTACCTTTTGACGATGAAAATATTCAAAACCTTTACAAAAAAATTCAGGTTGGTAAAAAAGGAGTTTTTAGTTTACTCTTTCTAATGTGACAACTTTCGTTTAGATTGGAAAATATATATTGCCTACTTGGCTAACTTCTGATGTTCGTGACCTCATCACTTCAATGCTCAAAACTAATCCAGCTGAAAGAATTTCGGTGTCAAAAGTGTTGGACCACAAGTGGATTAAGCATGGTTGCATTAATGCACCTAATCTGCTGGCTAAATCACTCATCCCAGCCGCTGAGTTTGACGACGAAGCTTTGCAGTGCTGTCGTTACATATTTCCTGAACTAACTGAAGAGCAATTACGAAACAAAATCAAGTCTTTCGGGTACCACACGGCTTCTTACTTGTTGCTGCGAAACAATGATAGCGGCAAAAAGGTATCATTGTGATCAAAGTAAGATTATTTGCGCATACTAACATACTTTGATTGCAGTTTGTCAAAGAATCGTATCAACGCAGCTCAGCTAATCAACAGCCTCAATCGTTCAACGGTGCCAACTCGCCTCGAGTGAATGCGATCAAACGAAAATTGGGATTGGAAATCGAAGCCAGTAGCTTGATTACACCAGTCAAGAAGGTCAAGGAACAAGCACCCACTTTTGTAGGCACTCCTTACCCGAATTTGGCCAATACAAATGTAGCCCCAAAACCGAATGCAGCATCTAAAGCAGTTTATCGTCCAAAGTTGATGGTTGCCATTCGCGATCCAAGCTCCTCACCACGCACACCGGTGACTCCTCGACTGAACGACAAAGTAGCTCGGCGAATCGTTTCACCAAAGATGAAAACTAACGAAAATCATTTCGAAAACAAGATTGAAAACTCGCCCGCTAACTCGCCTGCTGTGTGCATTAAAAGTCCATTGCGTGAAATTAACAACCATAACGTTCTTTCTTCTCCTATTCCGCCACCGCCAAAAACGCCGGTCAACATGAACAAGAAGCCTCTCTTTAAAAAGTCCACTTCAAAGAAATCCTTGCTTAAACGTATAATGGCATCTGCCACGCCTGCCAAGTCGAACGTCCCGCGTAAATTAAACGTCGCAACACACTCCAATAACATAACAATGACTTCATTTCAAGAGCCTCAGGAGTGCATTGATCGCCTCGTCGACAAGTTAACCACAAAGGGAGTGCAATGCAAACAGAAAGAGTATGGAACAGTGTTCACGCCGTCTCCTAAGTCATCCATGTTCAAAAGGCTAACTTTTGTGGTGCGCAAAAACTTCACACCTTGAGTTTTTATTCACTTTCATTAACCCATTTTTTGTAAAATTATTTTTCAATGATGGTGCTGATTTTTTAAATTATTTTCATCAAAATAAGTCACAAGGAGTACCTCCAATTTCTTGCAACACTATACTACCTATTCACTTTGTGTACACTTTCAGTTGTTTGCGCACCCAAAGTTAGGCTTTTGTTCATGGATGGAACTTGGTGGGTAAAGTTAAAAAGTGGCTAATTTGTTTTTTGTTTATCCTTACAGTTTTTCTCTCAAGTGTACCCTTGACAATAAGATTCACTCGGCGCTAAAGTTTGACTTGGAGATATGTCAGCTAAATGGTTTGTGCGTGATTCATCGAAAACGACTCAGAGGTGATGCTTGGAACTACAAAAAAATTTGCGAGCTTATTCTTCAAATAAGTAACGAGCAGCAGCTGGCTGCTCTTACCGGATCCGAAAATGCTAGCTCTTCATCTGCCGGTACCACGTCCTCTGACCCTCCGCCGACTAACTTTATAACTAGCACTTCATTGTAACTACATTTCCCATTATCCAATGTTCGCCCCAAGAAATAACCGATTTTGTTGTGACACATGAATTAACTTCATCGAATATCTGTAATCACTCTATCTTTTTACCCCAAATCCACTTTTATTTTCATCAGTATTATGCATATTTTTATATTGTATACATTTTAAGATGCATAGATGACAGATAATAATTTTCATCAACTTGTATATTATTCACAAAAAATCAGCAAAATTAGAGTACAAGTTGAGCCTAATAAACCTATGATTGCATGACTTTACAATATAATTTAGTAACTTTATTGTTAGTTTATTAAAACGGTGATTCACACAGGTGATTCCAATTTACGATTGTGCAACTTTTTCTCTGGGCCAGCTCGGGGCGGACTTCAAGAGACGGAGATTGCATTAGCACAGTACTGCACACTACTGTGCACAGGTGATACTTTGCGCCTGCCCACTTTCAGCTCAGCATCAGGCGTGAGGCACTGCCTGACTATTTTCGCCATGCTAACCGCTTTTGAGTCGCGCCAATCAAAACATGCCGATTGCTAATTTAGCATTGTGCCGCATTAGAAATCTGCACTTTTTGCTTGAAAACCATCAAAGTGACATCCATTTTATTTATTGTGTTGGTCTAAAATGGCCACAACACTTTTAAACTAAAGTGACCGAGAAACAGAACTTTCAGATGTTGACTATTTCCACCAGAATTCTAATTCCAAGCCGAACAATGCAAAGTGTGAAATTAAGCACCTACAATTTAGTGCTACCAACATTTGACAACCGATTCATGTTTCAAGTCTAAATCTTTCAAGATTGTGCTTAATTTTTAATTGGCATATTGGACAACAGTAAAACCGCAATGGCGGTTTCAAACTACTAGTTGTCATCCATTTTTGTTTGAGTCCTGATTATTATCGTCACATTAGATTGTCCAACATCTGATTCCTGACAACACTTGCAAGGGCCGTCGAGCCTGCCCATACCATTTTTAAAAATGGATCCTGCACAACAAAACAAGTATGAAACGGAGCCTTGGAAGCAGGCAAAGTTGAAGGTGATGGAATATGTAGATATCATCAAGACCCAGCTTAGCACTCAGCTAAGCAAAGAACAGGGAGACGAACTGATTCTCAACTTGATGGACATTAATGAGAACCTAGGGGTAAGTTTTTATAAGTTGTTTAAAAATTTTAATAAAAAAATATTTATTTTTAAAGAATGTGATGTTGCTTCCTGAGTTGCTCTCTCTGTTCTTCACAAACACATCGGATATCATGCTCGATTATCTATATGCAGAGCCAAAAGGGTTTATTGCCCAAGAAGCATGCTACCAAATTCGCAATGCACTTCTCTCCATTCTTCGTGGTTCAATCAATGAACCAAAACTCAACATCAGCAAGCTGATGACTGTACTTCTTGATGTCATAGAGGTACTGTCTTTTTAATTTAAAAGCGTTTTTTATTACTAACAATCTCATTTTTTAGAATGACAATGAAAAATGCGCTCTAATCGCATATCAAATATTTCTGGAAGTTATTCGAAAATATCCTGGAAGGCATTACGAAGACGTAAGTTTTTACTTATACCACTTCGTATAACTTTTTATAGTGAAATATGATTTAACGAGAAGCGAACTGAGACTCTTATTGACTTGATAAGATTCAAAGATTTTTTATTAAACTAAATGCTTTTAATATATGCGATGTATGACTTTAGAAAGGAGATCTTGAAAAATAGGGATTATGCAGGCAATTATTAACAATCTACTTCTGTTTGTTTTGTACTTTCAGGCAAAGAAAACTTTGAACATTTTCCATAAAGCAACCTCAGATTTTCTTAAAAATGTTCCCAAAATACTAGGCTCTCCTCGGCCTAACTCGGAATTGGATGAACTTGATATTAAGAAACTAGTAGACGAGGTCTTTATTTCTACGCAATTTGTGATACAAGGAAATAAAGCTGAGTTTATACCTCGTGGAATGCACTCACTTAAGTTTCTTTCTGAAATACCAACTGGAAGTTTATTAATGAACAATCTCTACAAGGAGAACACAGAAAATATAGTGTGGGAGATTGTAGAAATGGCAGCGGAAATTATTTCAACTCATCCAACTGAAGAGCAGCGCTCAAACCCGCATTTTTATCAAGAATGCTATGTTCAATTTTTTCAAATACAAGTAAGTGTCTACTTTAATTGTTATTTAAAAAAACAACCATTTTATTAAAAATATTTTTACTTGAACAGACAAAATTCACAGCATTTGTCTTACACATGTACAAAAAACCGGAGGATCAAAACAGGATGGACTCGTTTTTTAAGCCTGATAAGATTCCGCAAATATTCTTAAACCTTCTGATCAATTGCCCTTCTCACGTTCCTCAAACTCGAAGAGAGATTATTCAAACCATGCGCAACTTTATCTTCCACTGTTTCGATCACCGAAAATACTTGGCTTCTCAAATCGAATTGTTTATCGATGACAAGGTTCTTCTTGGATCTGGTTGGACTTCACATGAAGCACTTCTATCAACGACTTACACACAGTTTTACGACGTGATTCATCATCTTCGAGACCAACTTTCTATGAAGCAAATCGTGCATATTCTCAATCATTTTTCCAAAAATTTGGTTTTACACGAGCCTACTCTTAACGCCAGTTATCACATGCAGACAATCAGACTTCTTATGGGTCTAGTAGACGTGTACGCG